ATCAACCGGCTTTTTTTCATATGTCAGTCAGTTATGTGCCATGCGTGATACACGCTTAGACCATCATGTATTTTTCGATACGTGACTGACGAGGCAGATTTTTTTTCTCGCAGTAGGTTGCCATTTCTTTCTGCGAAAGGCCAGTTGCCATCCAAGCCTATAGAACCCGGTCTGTCCTGCTATTTATCCATGGCTGGGGGGAGGAGAAGAAGAGGATTCATACCTTTCCCAACGCTGTTAGCACATAAGTGAATATAATGGATTCGGCTGGAATTCGAACTCGGCTCTCCTCAATCCGAGCCGCTATCCATTACTCCTCCATGCTATATACTGATATTTTATTTCTTTACAATTTATATGTAATATCTTGCTTACCTAAGGAATTGTCATTTGCCATTAATTTTTGGTCTTAGAAAATTTGACAATCACAGGTCATATTGAAGACAATAAGAAGAGTGAAACAGCGAGAAACCAGTGATCCTTGACTTAAGCGGCATAAAATAAACTGCTATTCCCTGAACGGCGTAAAATCAATAAGACAAAGGTAGATACGTTTATTCTAATTAAACCTTATTACAACGAGTAATGGACGACGACACAGCAAATAAATGCTGAAAACACAAAACTGTTCTTGTACTGCCGACGCCACATGAATTCGTGAAAATGCGACGTGAACAATATCTCCGAAGATACAAACTGTCGGCGTAGTTCCCGCTTATTTTGGTATGGATGGTGCCACTAGGAGCCATAAAATGTTGCTGATGAATAACGACTTCATAAGAGTTTATCGTCTGGTTGATTTTCTCGATTCCATCATAAGCAGACCAGCCATCTGAAACAATATGGCTTCCAAGCTGAATATACCGTGGCACAATCTCGACTTTCAGAATCTCTACTCTCCGTTCCGGAACCCCGGCTTCTCCGAACCCAATTTGATACCACCGAATACACAAGGGCCAGAGCGCCAAAAATTATTTTAAGTAAAGAACATTTATTAAATTAAGATATTTATAGGCATAAAAAGTTTATTTTACGCTTTTTAATTGAGGGATTACCGAATAACCTAATTAATGAGCTAGTGTAAATGAATGGCAGAAGAGGAAGTGAGAGGAATGAAGAAAAGGCAAACATTACTAGGAGCTACAAAATTATAGTTCATCCATGTATTAAACAACTACTAATATACTATAAATTTGAATTCTACTTATTCGTTTTATGTAAAGTCATGATTTCTTGTTGATTTCATGTTGTAACCTAAGAAAGGCTTACTGAATAACCAAAACGGAGGTTGGAAATGAAATGGTAATATTTATAATATCAACAAAATACAATACTCGCCAGCAGCGTGAAGTAGGTAAACCACTGCTAGTATTGCACTACTTAGAGAGCATATTACTCCCACTTACAATAGTATCCAACGTATTTATGAGGATTGGGACATACGCATTAGTGTTCATAGGCACGGTATATAACACTTTCTTTCTTTCATTCAAACATTACTTTTTTTTTTTCGTTTCCTTTCTCTTATAATTTTTCTTTCTTTCTATTGTATTCTCTCTTTCATTCAATTTTTTTCTTTTCCTTTATTCCATTTCACTTTCCCTTACACTTCTTTCTGTTGTAACTTAGGAAGTGTTACTGAAAAAGGAATAACCAAAAAGGAGGTTGGAAAAGAAATGGTAATCTGTATAATATCAACAAAATACAATACTCGCCAGCGGCGTGAATTAGGTAAACCACTGCTAGTGGTGGACTACTTAGACACCATAGTACTCCCACTTACAATAATGTCCAACGTATTTATGAGGATTGGGGCATACCCATTAGTGTTCATAGGTACAGTATATAACACTTGCTCACAGTGGATTTAATTTTGTTTGTTTTATTTGTTTAACAGCATATGAACATCTTATGGGTTATTTATTGCCAATATTTAATTTTCTTGGAGCTTAGAAGTAATAAAATATGATATATGTTATTCTACTTTCGCAATTGGATACATGGTAGATGATACTCAGTTTTTCTGCATATACAATTTTGTGTGGACATAATTACTAGAAATGGTGATATGTATGTTTTATGTTGTAGTTTTTTTGAAGTTATATTTTGGAATACAGTTTGAATTAATAAATTGTCTGATATTATATGAATTAATGTCATGAAAGAGTTCTTTCATGCAGTTTGTTTGGTTGATTTTGGTTAGCGAAATATTTAATGCTGGAATTAAAATATTTTGAACGCAATTGTATGCCTTCAACTACAGATAAAATGTTTTTGTGATGTCAACGAACACTCGTTGCCACTTTTGTGATGTCAACGAATACTCGTTGTCACTTTCGTAATGCTCGTTGTAGTAGAGACTTTGTAATCGCAGATACAACTTATAGTTATAGCCGTTGAACAATAATGGTGTCAGACGCCTTCGAATAGCACTAGCTCTAATAATACTTGATCGATAATACTCGCTCAAATAGTTACCACCGAATAGGGACCAGTAAAGAAAAATAGTATAGAGAAATAGAGGTACGTATAGTATTAGAGGATAGAATAGAAATAGTGATTTGAATAGTAATAAAGGATAGAATAGAAATGGTGATCGTTTAGACGTCACGCTAATTCCCATATATACATTTCCGTTGCCATCACGTGATCTACTTTTCAAAATGGGATCGCCTGTGTTTGCTCTCTGGTGATCTGTGTTCAAACTCCAATGTCAGCAGCGGCACTTTATTCCTATATAACAAATGTATTGTCAGTCATTTTGTTATAAATAGGTATTGTTGATCATTTTACCATAAACATGTGTTTTTAAACTTTCATAGTGTTCTTTTTTTTTTATTTGGGGGTTTACTATTTGCCCATAGCTGGGACCCTAACTGGTGCTACCACCCTGGGTCAGCGTAGACCTAGGAACAACAACAATTGAGAGGTGATTCCACACGCCTCAAAAACTCTAATCTCCCGATCAAAGGTTTTACTGCCTAATATAGTTTATCGTCATACCGAAGACTAACCGTGAATTTGTGACACCATCTCTAGTTAGCTGACCGTTGACACATTAGAAGGACAGAAGAACAGAGAAAAACTTCGAATAACCTACCGAGCAAGCTTGAATAGCAGAATAGGGATATTAAGGGCACTAACGACTTAGGAAAATAGGAAGTTGTGGAGAGTGGTGTTCGTCCATAGGCTGAGGGGACACGGCTTATAGAAGAATATAATTTTTTATCTTCCATATTGCCATTCTATGATTTCTTGTGCAAGGAGTGAATAACCCTTTAAATAAATAAACAACAAATTCTCTCTGTCCGTCTGTGTGTGTCTGAAACCCCTCTAACTCGAGCCACACTTGATCTACATTGACATATTATACCTTTTGGGAATTACGATGATAACAGGATTAAAAATCTTCCCTTTCATCTGGTGCCTGAACATCCAGCATTGGGATTTGTATGTGGATAAGGAGTGAATAGTTAAAAAATTCAAATTTTGCAATAAGTAAAAAAAAAAAAAAAAAAAAAAAATAGTTAATTTAAAAGCTTTTAATTTATATTGAGTTTAAAGTGACAAAAGCTTTATGAATTCAAAATTTTCTGCTGGAAATTCAGTTTAAAATATCTCCAAAACTTTGTGAATTGAGGAAATCAATTTTATTTCTTTAAAATGCCAAGGAATCAGAGTGAAAGTGAAAGGTTTCGTAACGCGAGTTTTTGAAGTTCCGCAAAGTTCATGATTTGAAGAACTCAACTCAACTGATGTTCCACGAAGTTTGTGACTTGTAGAACTCAATTTCCGGAATGAATTGGAATTGCGGCCCAAATCGGACTTTCGACCGGCACTGAACTTAGCCCGAATCAGAGTTAGAGCGAGGTTTTGAAGTTCCATGGAGTGAATTAATGAATTCAAAGTTATTTCTTCAAAATTATCATTGCTGTTTTCTTAGCTTGGACCAGAGGTCTCTTTAGTTTTTGGCCAGAGGCCCAATTAGCTCTCCGCAAGAGCTAGCTTAAAATTTCCCCACTTGAAGATCCAGCATTGAGATATATGTGTGGATATGGAAGGAATAGTTAAAAATTCAAATGTCAAAATAACTGAAAAAATGAGTGATTTTAAGAGTTTTTATTTATATTGAGTTTAAAGTAACACAAAACTTTGTGAATTTAAGTTGTTTTTTTTGTTTTAAGCTCAGTTTAAAATGCCCCCAATACTCAATTTTATTTCTTCAAAATGGTAAGGAATCAGAGTTAAATTGAAAGATTTTGTGACGTGAGGTTTTGAAATTCCGCGGAGAATGTGATTTGACGAACTCAACTGAGTTGAAATTAAACGGAGTTTGTGATGTGAAGAACTCAGTTTCCACTCTGAATTGGAATGTCGGCTGAAAACAGAGTTTCAGCCCATCTCTTGGACGGAATTGGATTCATAGAACGAATCAGTGTTAAAGTCAGGGTAAGGAGTTCTATGAAGTGAATTGAGAAATTCAAAGTTATTTCTTCAAAATTATCATTGCTGTTTTCTAAACTGAACAAGAAGTCCCTTTAGTTTGAGACCGGAGGAGCTAGCTTAAATGTCAGCCCAGCGTGCGAATTTTAAGCTAGTTAATAATCATTTGTACTAAAATACATTGGTTTGCAAAAATAATAACGGACACACATACATATACTTGAGAGCCAATGATTCTTTCTTTCTTAATCCGTTGACACGATTCCTTAATGGGACAAAACCCGTACACCCAAAATAGTTTAGTAACTAGCAAATAAGTTGATAAAATACTCCATCTTTACAAGAGACAGATCAGATCATAGAGTAAGAATGTTATATCTGAACAGGAAGTTTCCAGGCCTGACTGCCTAACCTTGACAGAAGTCAAAAGCGTTTACGCAGCCTTGTAGGAGATGAATTATTTCCCAACCTACAACTGATTCCCTTCAAACGAAACTTTGCTAGACTCTTGCTGCTATATCGCTATTTCCATGGCAAATGTTCCTTAGCACATAGTTTACGGCCATATTACATTGAAACATTGGTTCTCGTACAATCACCGAAGTTAAGCAACGTTGAATCTGGTCAGTACCTAGATGAGTGACCGCTTAGGAAACTCGATGCTCTAAGTTTGTTTGTGCGGGTGGTATAAAAGAGAATGGCTAGGAATTGAGAATCGGAGATCCGAGTTCCAATTTCAGCCAGGTTCGTTATATTCACTTACGTGCAAATACTCATGGGCAAGATATAAATCCACCTCTTCTCTCCCCAGCTACGGGTTAATATCTGTCTATCTATCTATCTATCGTGTGCGTGTAGGTCTATTATGTGAGAATTAGTATGATTTTTATCAGTAAAATCATTATTATTTACCAAAACATTCTATCAGTCTGAGATTATTTTCTGGTTTTAACTAACCTACAAAAGGTTGATAAGTCGTAAAAACCACAAATCAATCAATCAAAATCCTTATTATATTCCTTATTTCCATCTGTTCAAACCTCCACAGCTAAGACTCGTATACAGGATCAACTTACACGCATTTCCTTCGTTTTCCATTGGTAAGGAGCAAAAGATTTTCCTCGAAACCGTTAATTTGTAGAAGAGACTCCCCATCCCACAAAAAATGCTTTCCACAGATCAGTACAATTTTAACCTGTTCAAGTCTAGAGTCAACCGTTATCTATTCTACATATCCTAATAATATTAACTTCTTACTTTCTCCTTTTGCGCACTTACAAGGATGTCGTTTAGTAACCGTCTACGACGAGTGGCTCTTGGGCCTTGTACTGGGTGAACAACCGTATTAAGAAAAGAACTGTACAGACACTGTAGAGTCGTAACACAAAATGCAAAGGGTGCGTGTCTAGCATTTTAAGCCGACCTAAACCAAAGTTATCTCAGCCATGACCTACTTGATTGATAAACCTGGCTGGATTCCCGTTCCATACTTACCGTAGGCGTCTTACGATGAAGATGTTTCCCTACCGGAAATTGGATATTGCTAATGCCGGCGTCGTACGCGAAGGGTCTTCATATATTCCCACTCTTATTTCTAAACATTATCAGAATCCGACTAATGCTTCTCCCCCATTCTCTATCTCATATATATATATATATATATATATATATATATATATATATATATATATATATGTGTGTGTGTGTGTGTGTGTGTGTCTTACATTATATAAACTACATATATAGATGTATTTACGCACATACAGACTTACTGATATACTAAAATACACACATATATATGTTATAGTCGAAATGGAAGTTTCACGCCATAAGACATGGTCTGAAGATCTCTCATGGCGTGAAACCTTATATATAGTTTGGTACGATCCACGGTTTCAACTGCCTCTCTCAGATATATATATATATATATATATATATATATATATATAAAATCCATCTTTTGACAAAAAGTAATTTTTGTCAAACAAAAAAACCCGGCTAAATTAAAAGATTTCAAACAATGAAAATGTATGGCAAATTAAGACATAAAATATTTAAAAACATAATGCAAATATATATGTCTAAATCTATTCATATCTACCTATATCTATGTATATATCTATATCCATCTATAAATAAATAAAATCTATTCATATCTATATCCATATATCTACGTCTATTCATATCTATCTGCCTATCTATCTAGAAGTTTATTCATATGTAGCTATATAACTAAATCTATTCATATCTCTATCTAAATCTATTCATATCTCTATCTATATATCTAAATCTATTCATATCTATATATCTAAACCTAATCATATCCATCTCTGACTATACATATCTATTATCTGCGAGTGAGTGTTATGTGAGGATGAATCTTTTTGAGAATGTGTGTATCTGTGCGCGTGCTTTTGTCTGTATTTTGTATGTAATCTTTGGCTAATTATCAAATCAATCATAGTCTCCTCTTCATCCATAAAATTCACACACACACAAACACACACACACACACATAAGTAGATATACATATATATTAGTTGTGTGTGTTTATTTGCGTGCGAAAACATTTAGTCTTTTGTGTAATGGTGAAATGGTCCGTGCCTAGCTTTTCAAGCCAATCTATTATTAGTAGAGTAAACAAAGATGGTTGAAGAATGGTGGTGCCTAATGAAATGGAATGGGGAGGTGTGTTGTATAATAGAGAAATTAGAGATGACGAGGTGAACTGCTTACTAATCGCCATTGGTTCTGTTTGCAGGCCAATGACTATTTTTGATCCAGCGATAAAATTAGTGTTAATAATAGCCATTGTAATGCTCGTTGGTCGCACAACGTCTGTTCGTCGTCCCGCGCTTCCTGTTTGTTTTTATATATATAGGAATATTGTTAGATATGTATGCATGTTTACATTCTTGACTATTTGATTATTAGGCATATCGATTGATCAGTGAATGCTGGACAATCTCACCCCAGATGAGAAGGAAACGGGAGACAACAAAAATGTGTTTCTCATGGACAGGAACGAGTAAGCATCGAGAAAGCCTTAAAGAAAATGATAATAAAAATAAACTTAGAAGCAACTAAAATTCTTTGAACATATAATGAGGAAGGAGGGCTTGGAAAACTTAACACACACACAGGGCATATCAAGGACATGAGAAAAATAGGCGAAGGTTTCCAGTTTGTAAGATTCACTGACAGAACGGGGGATGGGAGGCATGGCAACAGAAGGAACGTTGCTAAGGGCCACGCTGGATAGAAAATTGGAGAGCCATGACCGGTCACGTCCTACAGGAATACATTACATAGAAGATATTGATAGACATGCTTGACTGTTTTAGAAGATAATCGCTGTTTATTTCTGCACATACCCGTCTGAAGAAGATATATCTGTTAAATCTATATCTATGTCAAATATATCTATATATCTATTTATGTATATCTAAGTCTGTTAAGTCTCTATATATCTAAGTTTATTAAAACTATATATACATATATATATCTATTAAATCTGTCTATATATAATCTGTTAAATCTCTCTCTCTCTCTATATATATATATATGTCAAATCTGTCTCTCATATATATATATATATATATATATATTGTTTGTTAAAAATATATATATATATATATATATATAACAAACAATATATACATATATATATGTCTATTAAATCTGTCTATATATACCTAAATCTGTTAACTCTCTCTCTATATAGATAGATAGATAGATAGATAGATAGATAGATAGATAGATAGATAGATAGATCTGTTCAATATATATATATATATATTTGTGTGTGTGTGTTTACATGTCTATGTCTGTTAAATCTATCTATGTATCTATGTCTGTTACATCCATATATCTATATGTCTGTTACATCTACCGTATGTCTCAAATCTATACTAAGTCTATCTATTCGTCTATATTGGTTGAATATATATGTCTCTCTGTTACATATATCTATCTTTGTCTGTCTACCTGTTAAATATGTCTATCGAATATGCCTCTCTCTATATTATATATATTGTATATAAACATATTATACATATATTATATATATATTATATATTATACATATATTATACATTATATATATTATATACATTATACATAGATATATGTAACAGATTATATATATATATTATATATATTATATATTATATATTATATATATATATATATATGTTAAATCTATGTCTCACTGTCTCCTATTTTTACAAACTGGTGTGTATACAAAACCCATACATAATGATATGTAAATATCATTCTGGAAAAATAGTTATCAAATTCATCTCTCAGACCATTTAGTGAGTTTGATTCTATATGTGCAACTCTCTTGTGTCTTTGTAACCTTAAAATAAGCTTATTAAACGTCTACAAGTTGATGACGCTCAGCTATATGAGTAAGCTAAGGGAGATAATTGCTTATAGAATTTGCGGAAACTTGCGCTGACATAAACTTTCCATGCTTTAGGCCGGAAGAAATAAGCAAAATAAAGGTCAGTTACTGTTCCCAAAAGAATACCTTTCGTTCGAATCGAAAAACGACGAAGAAGCAAGAGTATTTGTGACAGAAAATACAGAACGAATTATAAGAGAGAGAAACACTATATATATATATATATATATATATATATATTGTATCAAATGACAATTGGAAAAAAATCTTATATTTTGCCGACGCGTTTCGTCTTCCGACTTTTTCAAGGCAAAAATGAAATCGAAATGTTTTGTTGGGAATTTAACACACACACACACACACACACACACATATATATATACTAGCAGTAGAGCCCGGATTGCCCGGGGATGTAACAGTAAGAGATAGATCAAGTATCGACCATCATAAAGACTGAACGATTATTGTGTAAGGTTGATGGACACGCATGTCTTAGTTTTTTTTTTTGTTTTTTTTACGAATTGGTCAAACCCAAACAAAAACATTGTTTTCAATCGTTATGAGTCTACTGATTGAATAGAATTTTATTATAAACAATTGTCTTGTAAATGGAATTTTAAAAGCATTCTGAATGTAAAAATAAAGAAAAAAGTGTGCAAGACAATAAAAAACACTAACTGCCAAAAAAAAAAAAAAGAAAAAAAGTGAAGTTTTGTGAAATCGGTTGAAAAATGTAGGAAATCCGATCCCATATATAAACGAATAGACACACACACAACCTGGGTTTTATAATAAGTATGATATATATATATATATATATATATATATATATATATATATACACACATACTCATCCAAATACAATCCTGTTTCGTTGTATCACAGCTCTTCTGTGTGGCTAGACATTCAAGCCGAGATCGAAACCAGACCCATTTCATCAGCCAGAAATCCTAACCCTAAGCTACCGGTGCACGATAGAGAAAGGGAAGTTCTACCGTATTATATATGGATATATACAAAGGCTAGCATCCAGGGGGCTCAATTTATTAATGATAGAGCGGTACGTTAATACCAGCGGCGGCTACTGTTTTGAAATTACTCTTTTCTCTATTGTGCTCGATCGAATAATGAGTACCTAACACAGTCATCCACATACAAGCGTATTTCCCTGTATCACAGCGCATCCGTGTGGCTAGACATCCGATTTCTTCAAGCCGGGATCGAAACCCGACCGATTTGGCTTCAGTCAGAGATCTTACCCCTAAGTTATCGGCGCACGGCAGATAAAGTGAAATTCTAACGTGTTATAATACGAGATGTATACAAAAGCCAGCAACCAGAATGCTCAATTCATTACTGAAGAGCGATGCATTAATGGCAGCGGCGAGTTTGTTTAGAAATTACCCTTTTCTTTATAGTGCTCGATCGAATAACGAGAACGTAAACCCCGCATAGTGAGTTGAATAAATAGATCTATTTTTTTTTTCGTTGCCAGAGCCATAATGTATGGAAAAAAAATAAATGTGCAATGCAATAATCGTAATAATAATGGGTGAATAAAAAGAACGTGTAGAATAGAGGGATGACAAAGAGATTGTAGAAAGAAACATTTCCTCTTTAAACATCATAACAGAAAATATAGGAATTAACGCACAAATAAAAATTACAATCGTAAAAGTCATGCGGTACAAACGTAAATGCTCAAAAGCAAGATAACATCACAATTGAATGCATTATTTTTTTTTTTTTATTGCATAACATTAATAATACCGAAGAGATATATGTTTATGTACAAAGACAAAAAAATTCGTTCGGTTAAGAAGGATATTTTCGACTTAAGCGAAAGAAACTTTTGGTCAAACACATCATACAGTGAAACCCGGATATAAGAGAAACCCGGATATAAGAGAGATTTTCTCTGGTCCCAAATTAGAGCCTGTGTTAATGTATATAAAATAGGCCAAACCCGGATATAAGAGACTTCTTCTCCGGTCCCGACAACTCTCTTATATACGGGTTACACTGTATATGAAAAACCAAAAAAAAACGAAAACTTATCTTAGACAACGCATTTCGTCCGCTGAGGGACATTATCAAGGCCTTTGATATTTGCCTTGATAAAGTACTTCAGAAGATGAAACACGTTGGCTGTTTACGTTTTTTTTTTTTTTTTACATATTGTCCTTTTATAGATATACTCTATCTGAATGTGTGGGTGTGTGTGTGTGTTTCATTAAAGGCGAAAGAAAAAATAAAATCATCCTTGAAAATGGCTAAACGTATAGCCGAAAGCGCTCGGAATTATAGAACATTTGGACTGTTTCTACGCACTCTGTGCCTAAAAAAGAAAACAACACTTGTCCGAACACAAAAAAAAAAATTAGATAAAAAGCTTTTAATACCTTGTCTGTCGTCTTTAAATGAATGATTCCTGCTTAAATACGCTATACATATATAAGTCGTTATTAAAGTCAGAATTTAAAGGCGACAGTCTGTTTCATGCTAAGCGCAATGGGACTGCGTTTAGCATGAAACAAGACTGATGCCTCTGGGTGTTGACTTCAATGTCCACTTTTATATTTACATGCGTTCTATCCCTGATATTGATTAATAAAAGTCCAGTTATACTGTTTAAAGGAGCTTACCTTGCAAAAGAAAGGAACGGCGGAATTAACGAAAAACAGTTACAAAATACAGTAGTAGGTCAGAGTGCCGAAGAACAAAAGAGTTCAATGGACTGTGTCGAATGGACAAAGTGCCAGACATAAAGAGAGTCGAACTGACTAAATGACGAAAGGCCAGAAATATGTCTACAATAGAATACCTTTTACTGTTCATGCAAGTATCCTGCCGGTAAATAATTATTTTTAAATTTTAAACTAACATAAAACCTCCGATAATAAAAAAAAAAATCTACATAATTGCTAACTTTTTAAAATAAGAATCTACATTCAAACTACAGTAAATAATTAATATTTTTATTGATGAAAAGTTACAAAGGTGGAAAAAATACAAATAAAATTTAGTTCGACTTTTTTTCCTCCCGTTCCGCACTTTATTCATTCGATACTTAGTCCATTCATCATTTTGTGCTTCGAGAAAAGATTGAATTTTTTCTTTTGACTTTTTGTTCTTCGACAAAGGATTGTGTTTTACATGTTGGTGCACGCAAAAACACAATCATTTAAAAATGAATGAAGCAGCAATCGAAAGTTCACGAGAAGGAAAATAAGATATAAATAAATATTGACGTTGGTTAATTTACCGATTATATAAAACAACTGTTTGGGAAAATTGAAAAAGTTGATAAAAAATGGACAGCCTGAACTTGTCGATGTTATTCAACCAAACATGTTTGAAATTATATATGCCGTAATTCCCCATGTATAATACGCATTTTTTCTAAAAAAAAATAAGCAAAATCAAGGGTGCGTATTATGCATAGCTACAGAAAATTCTTAAAAAATTGCCGTAAGAGAAAAAAAAAAGAAGAATTATCATAAAACTAAATTAAAATAATATTATTCTATGTTTAAAACAATTTTTAATAAGAGTAGGAAACGGTGGTCGTAATGAAATTGGAGAGGTAAAATTTATAGGGTTTGATTACCAAACAAAGGGTGCGTAGTATACGTGAGTAGAATCATTTTCCCACACTTTCAGCACTATTTTAGTGTGCGTATTATGGATTAAGGCGTGTTATACATGGGGAATTACGGTATGTGCATTAATCCTTCGATAACGTTTTTTTTTCAACTATCATAGAGACGATTAGGTTCTAGTTTGTGAGATGTTATTTACATTGTTCGGACTGTTGTCCTCATCTTTATTGCCATACTGACGACGTTTCAGCCGTTGTACGCTACTGCCTTCTTCAGGCAATTGGAATTTCGAACTGAACCCTTTATTCGGTGCACCGGGGTAGATTGTTCTAATTCTACATGCGATACCGCTTTCAGATGTCTCAGTTATCCCCCTTTTATTCAACTCTCTTTTTTTCAAGAACACATAGCCCGGTGGATAAAAGTGTTGGTTGGATCCAGTGACTTGGCCCAAAGAGTTGTGAGTTCAATACCTGGCTACTGCAGTGGTGAACAAAACGTTTTCAGCTGACATGAAGTGGAAAGAATATATTGAATCAATTGTTAAGTCTGCAGCTAAGAAAATTGGTTCACCATGTCGTGCAATGTTATCGGTTCTGATCTGGCATATCAGCTTTTCACTATGGTAACTCGACTTTATCATTTTACAGTTGAAAGTTCTATGCTAATAGTTTCTTCTATCGCACCTCTTGCTTGTGGAACACTCTTCCGGCTTTAACTTTGAGCTTCAAAAATTTGAATGCAATGTCAATCATTATTTTTTGTCTTGTTCTTTTATTGTCCTCTCTCCTTAATAGTAGTTTTTCTCATAATCAATAACGCTCGTAACCCCTTGAGTCCTAGTGGCTTTATTGCTTTGTCTGGGGTGAAATATTTTTATCTGTTGACATTTTCAATAAGACTTCTTTGTTGCTTATTCGGTCTGTCCATGGAATATTCATTATCTTTTCTTATGCCCAAATATATATGTCTATATATATATATATATATATATATATATATATATATATATATATAGAGAGAGAGAGAGAGAGATATGAATGAGAAAGATGGTATATATATATATATATATATATATATATATATATATATATATAGAGAGAGAGAGAGAGAGAGATAGATAGATAGAAAGGTAGAAAAAGGAGGTAGAGAGAGAGAAAAGTGAGATAGAAAAAAGGACGTAGAGAGAGAGAGAGAGAGAAGTGAGGTAGAGAGAAAGAGATAGAAAAAGGGAGGTAGACTTAAAAAAAATGGAGGTAAATATAGATAGAAAGAAAAATGGGTGGTAGATATATTGAGAGAGAAATGGAAAGCGAAACGGGTGGTAGAGAGAGATAATGTAGAGATGTAAATAGAAATAGAAAGAGGGAGGTAGATAAAAAGCTAGAAAAATAGATTTTTAATCTATTTTAGATTAAAAATGCTGACTTACAGTGTCAAGTTGGTTGTAAACTTTCAAATTACTCTTAGCATTACTGCTCAATATCTGACCACTTGCCAGACTCAGATTATCTAGAATCTGTACAAGATGTCAAATGCTGATATAGCAGTATATTTCCTGCCAGGATTAGTAGTTGGTGTTCAAACCCAAACTGAAGACGGTGACTCCAAATGCTGATTTTGAGGGCACGCAGAACGACCATTGCCATTTGAAGGATTACTTCCATTTTACGTTCATATCAAACAAAACAGAATCTATGTCAACATCTGCATATCAATGTATATACGTAATTTTTATAGATACAAATATTTAAGTAAATGCTCTATTTATTATAAACAGTATGAACAACATTTACCGGCCTGAATATCCGAGAAAGCTCATAGAAAATATGTGTTCTCCGACAGGAATCGAATCTAGACGAAAACGTCATATAGCCTGACGTGCTATGCCATTTAGCTACAGAGGAAGCATCTGGTTAGAAAAGTCAAATTACTGTTTTTAATGTGTCTATATCTATTCATATCTCTGTTTATTATCTATATTCATAACTATCTAAGTATCTGTGCCTGTTTTATGTCCATATCTATCCATATATTTTTGTTACACTCTCCCTTTACCTATTTTTTTCTATATCTCTCCTTTATCTATCTCTTTCCACACATATGTCCCTCTTTCTATCTATTGTACTCTCTCATCTATTTTTCTCGCTTTTTATCTACCTCCCTCTTTCTATTTCTATTTACATCTCTACATTATCTCTCTCTACCACCCGTTTCGCTTTCTATTTCTCTCTCAATATATCTACCACCCATTTTTCTTTCTATCTATATTTACCTCCATTTTTTTTTAAGTCTACCTCCCTTTTTCTATCTCTTTCTCTCTACCTCCTTTTTTCTATCTCACTTTTCTCTCTCTCTCTATATATATATCTACCATCTTTTTCTATCTCTCTCTCTATATATATATCTACCATCTTTTTCTATCTCTAATATATATATATATATCTATATATCTACCATCTTTTTTATCTCTAATATATATATATATATATCTATATATCTACCATCTTTTTATCTCTAATATATATATATATATATATCTATATATCTACCATCTTTTTTATCTCTAATATATATATATATATATATATATATCTACCATCTTTTTTATCTCTAATATATATATATATATCTACCATCTTTTATATATATATATATATCTACCATCTTTATATATATATATATATATATATCTACCATCTTATATATATATATATATATATATATATATCTATCTTTTTTTATATTTATATATATATATATATATACATCTTTTTTCTATCTCTTATATATACCATCTTTTCTATCTATATATATACCATCTTTTCTATCTCTAATATATATATATACCATCTTTTTCTATCTCTAATATATATACCATCTTTTTCTATCTCTAATATATATACCATCTTTTCTATCTCTAATATATATACCATCTTTTTCTATCTCTAATATATATACCATCTTTTTCTATCTCTAATATATATACCATCTTTTCTATCTCTAATATATATCTCTATCTTTTCTATCTCTAATATATATACCATCTTTTCTATCTCTAATATATATACCATCTTTTCTATCTCTAATATATATATATATATACCATCTTTTCTATCTCTAATATATATATATATATACCATCTTTTCTATCTCTAATATATATATATATATATATATATATATATACCATCTTTTCTATCTCTAATATATATATATATCAATATATCTACCATCTTTTTATCTCTCTCTAATATATATCTACCATCTTTTTCTATCTCTAATATATATATATATCAATATATCTACCATCTTTTCTATCTCTCTCTAATATATATCTACCATCTTTTTCTATCTCTAATATATATATATATCAATATATCTACCATCTTTTTCTATCTCTCTCTAATATATATCTACCATCTTTTTCTATCTCTAATATATATATATATCAATATATCTACCATCTTTTTCTATCTCTCTAATATATATCTACCATCTTTTTCTATCTCTCTAATATATATCTACCATCTTTTTCTATCTCTCTCTAATATATATCTACCATCTTTTTTCTATCTCTAATATATATATATATCAATATATCTACCATCTTTTCATCTTTAATATATATCTACCATCTTTTTTCTATCTCTAATATATATATATATCAATATATCTACCATCTTTTCTATCTCTAATATATACCATCTTTTTCATCTTCTAATATATATCTACCATCTTTTCTATCTCTCTCTAATATATATCTACCATCTTTTCTATCTCTAATATATATATATATCCATATATCTACCATCTTTTCTATCTCTCTCTAATATATATCTACCATCTTTTTCCATCTCTAATATATATATATATCAATATATCTACCATCTTTTCTATCTCTCTAATATATATCTACCATCTTTTTCTATCTCTCTAATATATATCTACCATCTTTTTCTATCTCTAATATATATATATATCAATATATCTACCATCTTTTTCTATCTCTCTCTAATATATATCTTCCATCTTTTTCTATCTCTCTCTAATATATATCTATATTTCTACCATCTTTTTCTATCTCTCTCTAATATATATCTTCCATCTTTTTCTATCTCTCTCTAATATATATCTATATTTCTACCATTTTTTCCATCTCTCTCTAATATATATCTATATATCTACCATTTTTTTCATCTCTCTCTAATATATATCTATATATCTACCATTTTTTTCATCTCTCTCTAATATATATCTATATATCTACCATTTTTTTCATCTCTCTCTAATATATATCTATATATCTACCATTTTTCATCTCTCTATATATATCTATATATCTACCATTTTTTCTCTCTCTATATATCTAATATCTATATATCTCTCTAATATATATCTATATATCTACCATCTTTTTTCTATCTCTCTCTAATATATATATATATATATATCTACCATCTTTTCTATCTCTCTCTAATATATATATATATATATCTACCATCTTTTTTTCTATCTCTAATATATATATATATATATATATATCTACCATCTTTTTCTATCTCTAATATATATATATATATATATCTACCATCTTTTCTATCTCTCTAATATATATATATATCTACCATCTTTTTCTATCTCTAATATATATATATATATATCTACCATCTTTTCTATCTCTCTCTATATATATATATATATCTACCATCTTTTCCTCTCTATATATATATATATATATCTACCATCTTTTCTATCTCTCTAATATATATATATATATATCTACCATCTTTTCTATCTCTCTCTAATATATATATATATCTACCATCTTTTCTATCTCTCTCTATATATATATATATATATATATATATATATATATATATATATATATATATATATATAATCATCTTTTTCTATACCTCTCTCGCTCTTCAATGCTAGGAGCCAAGTGATAAATTCACCCAGCCTGCCAATGAGCGTTATGGCACAAAGAGAAAGCATATAGGTAATAAACGCACAACAAACAGCACATTGTGAAAAGGAGCAAAGAAAAGTCAAATTAAACCTGAAAGCGTTGTATGCTTTCGCGCGTGCATACAAGGGAAATAGAAGAATTGAACAAAGATGGTTTAGGGCGGGCAGGGCTCGTGAGCAGAGTAACCGAAGCCCCACAGGCAAAGGACTGGGAACGCCCGATAAAACAGAAGGAGAAAGAAATGTGTCGGGTCGTCAGTTAAAAATAAATAAATAGAAGTCGGAGAATATGCTATAAAATATGATCTACAACTGCGCAAAAGCCTGCAGTTTTCAATAGATCAGGCCGGCTGTAATGTCGATAGTCATGAGACACGTTTCCCGATTGACTGATTGATTGATTTCAGACATACTTCTGGGGGTCACGTGCAAACCTTTGCTAGCACGCATGCGTGCGTTTACGATCATTTTTTTTTTTTTATAGATACACGTGACTTAGTTTACCGAACCTTTTCTTTTTTTTCCACTGGTTATGTTGTCAAAAATCCCGGTTTCAAAACATGGGAGGCTGATTTAAATCTATAGCGGTCTCTTATGACCCTAGCACGCTGCGTTCAGCTATTCCCCTAACAACATTCTCTGCTTGTCTAATAATACCGATTGTAAAACAACCAGTCATCATATATAACAGTAGCCGTAGAATAGCATAACAACTCACTGCAGAATAGTGGGCTGTATTTGCTTGTATTTCGTTGTTAAGAGAATCTATTTTTTATGAATGAAACTTCTCCGAGTACTGGGTCATTTGATATGGTCGGATGACCTTATAAGTGGAGGTCTTTCATCCGGGTATTCGTATTCGTTGGTTGGCGCCAAAATGAAGCGAGTTGGCCGGCAAAGTCAGTTGTTGCAGAAATCTGCTTCACTGCAGCCTGTTTACTTTGCATTCGCTGACCTAGCATGTAAAGTATACCAACTTCTTGTCGATAAACCTTTTTTTTTTTTTACTTTTTGACAATGACCATAATCACTAAATTATAAAAAAAAAAAAAAACCTAGTTGGTCTTCTCTCGTTCACTTTAACTTATTTCTTTTGTTGCACGCGTGACAGACTAGCGAAAGAGATGGCAGACAAAGAACACGGTTTCTTTATTTGCGTCTTTTAAAACCTGTCTGCCCTCACGAAAATGCATAGAACTAGAACGTGATGGAAAATACTGGGATAAGTATTTATCGTGACTTTATGTATACATTCTCCGGCTAAATCCACATCATTATTTGACAACGTATCCTTAATTATGTCATCAGTGACTTTTTTTTATTATTTTACAAATATATGAGACGCCCTTTGATCACACTAGCCATCACCTTGTTGATCAAACCAGGTTATTTAATATATTAGACATGGAATTTATATAAATATTTTTTATATACGGATTATTTAGCATTAACTTGCAGCAATTTCCCTTTGTGAAGAATGTATTTTATACGATCGCATTCATGTAGACATTTATCCAGCTTACTCTGAGGAAAATCTTACTTTAACTCTTCGAACTATTCAAATGAATTACCAGACAATTTTAATAACCATCATACCACGACAGGTGCCTGGCAGTATACATAAGTGAACATTGAAGTCAACACCCAAAGGTGACAGTGTTTCCTGCTAAACGTAATAGTCAGACGGTGTGCGTTGTATTTTTGCTCGACATTTTATATGTGCCTGTCAGTGATGCATTGTGGGTAATCTATTGCATTGTGGGTTATCTATTATAACGGTTATTTTGGTAGGCGTGGTTTGTTAATTTGTCTATAATTTAATAATTTATTTGTTTACATTAATTTTTTTTACTTGTTTTTGTTTATTTTCATTTATTCTTGTTAGTTTTCAGTTTTCGATTTTTAAGTTACGTAGTAAAACTTTGTTTTCGTGCCTGCATTTTGAGATCAGTTCTGATCGTTTATGTAGTAATTTGTTTTGATCTGGGAAGGTAATTATATCTATTTTTCCTCCAGGTATAGTTTACAGTTTTTTTGATTGATTGTTGTAGGCTGATGTTCTTTTCATTTTTTTTCCATGATATTTTTTGGTCTGATTTGTTTTTAATATCCCAGATATGTTTAGAAATCATTGTGCTGTTCGTGTATTTACTATTTGTAAAGGAAGTCTTGTGTACGTAGTTTCTTTGTTTCCAGCGTCCTTCAGTTACTCCTAAGTATATTTTTTCTTCATTATCTGCTGATTTTACAGTAGCTTGGTATATTACTGTGTTTGGCAAGCAATTGCCGTTTTAGGGACATTCGTTCTTTAGTCTGC